GGTAACACAAAGGGGGAGGGGGGGGAGAGGAGAAAAAAGAGGAGATGATTTGCAGCTTGCTTTGCCACCAGGCCCCTGTGCCTGCCTCCCCACTCCTATTCCCCTCCCCTTTACCTTCTGCTTCAGCCCTGATCCTGCTTGCCCAGGAGCTGCTGCCACTTCTCTCTGGACGGACTGGGCTGGAGCACGCTTCTGTTAAGTGCTCTGGAGCTGAAGCAGAGGGTAAGGGAGAGTGGGCAGGGAATGGGGAGGCAAGTGGCAGCCTGGGCTGGGGCCATGCTGCCACTGACTGACCCAGAGGAGCACAGCTGCAGCAGAAGGTAAAGGGGTTGGAGGGGGGAGGGTCTAGTCCCCTCATCCCCACTGCTGTTTTTCCCACCACAGCAGGAGGGAGGGGGAGAGACCACAAATAAGACAACCTTCCCCTAAACAGATTCTATACATGGAAAAAAAAAAAATCAGAACAGAATTAATGGAAAAATTATATATTTGTTCTAATATTTTCCAGGTGTAGAATCTAATTATTGGGGGGTTGTGTTAAATTTGAACTAGTATTGATTTGGGTAGCTATGAGAACATTTTTGTAAAGAATTTTGAGAGATTTCAATTCAAGTTTAAGCTTAAAGTGGGTTGGTTTTGTGTACAAAAATAAAGACAGAAATTCCTGGATATAAAATGTTTCAGCATCTTGTTTAATCCTTTAAAAATTAAGAAGTTGCAAATATGACCAGAGAGCACCTTATGGGAATTAGCCATGGAATTTCAAATTTGCAAGTTAAGTTAAATATTGTAAATGAGAACATATGCAAAGAGAAAAATCAACTGATCAATTAAAACAAAAGCCATTTCTGATTCCCAGTTAAAAGTTCCAGTCCACTGACTACAGACCAACATTTTGTGGAGTGAAGAGGCTATACATCCCAAGCTACTACCCATTCGTGAGTGGTACCCATTCATGGGAAGCTAGACCTTCTAAAGAAAAGAAAAAAGTTGAACAGTTTACCTGGCCATACAACTATATCAGGAATTCGTTTAAACATTCCTTCCCTGAGCACAAGTATCTCATGCAGGCAGTGACCTGAAGTACAGAAGAAATAAGCTTGAGAACTTTGGAAAAAAAAATATTTTTTAAAACATACAGTTAAACACTGAGATTTTCTTACCATGAGCTCTGAATACCCTATCTTCTGGATCCTGCGAATATGAAATTTTAGTGGCTCTAAGATCCTGGAGAAATTCTTCATTTGCAAAGGATGGAGGCACATCATTAACATTTAAGGTTGCCTATAACATAAGAAAATAAATTCACAACTGCTAAGGTGAACAGCATGCTGGCATCCCATAAACCAGATTAAAAAGATTACAGTTAGGGGTAGATAAGTATCCATAGTTTGGAAGGCTTCTGTACTTCATCTCAGTTCAAGTTCCCTTCCACATATCAGCTTCAATCCTATCTGCACTACCAGTCCTTCCCTTCAGGTGAGTTTTCTCCTTTGTATACCAGACTGCTGATGGTAAATTTCATTTTACTGGGTAGGTCCCTTATTTTTTTCAAATAAAAATGTTCAGCATGTCATAGACAAATGCACTGTCTGACAGAGACAACCGTGCTTTGCAAAACACCACTCACCATATAACTACTCTCCAGTTCTGCTATTTAAAAAAGGTATGAAAAAGCAGCTGACGAGAAAAGGTCAGATTCAGGGAAATGACCCTGCAAGCAAGGACAAGGATCAAGGTCCAGATCTGAAAAAGGACTTGGATCTGAAAGCTAAGCTACTATCTAACCCAGGGGTGGGCAATCATTTAAGCTGGAGGGCCCCTTAACGAGTTTTGGTGAGCTGTTTAGGGCCGCATACATACAATCTTTTAAAAGATTTAGTTTGTTAAAGTTATACTATAGATAAAAAACATATACTAAAAATCAAACATCTACTGTAACAGATTTTAATTTAATTAAAAAAATATTGTCCTGATTTGTCTTTTGAGTAGCGTATATAGAGGCAATTGCATAATAGCTCAAAATAAAGTCTTACTCTTGTATATTGTGTGTATGTGTGTGTGGGGGAGTTGATTGGTGTGCACGGGAGGGTGTGTGTGGCAAGGTGGGGGCAGGCTGCCCATGCACTAGGTTTTGGGATCTGGCTGAAGATGGGGCAGAGGGTACATGCAGCAGAGCTCATCCAGGCAGTGTAGGTGCGGTCCATGGCCCCCTCATCTGGCCCAGGGCTACCCCCATGATGCTCAGCATGGCACCAAGACCCACCTGCTTCCACCCCTGCCCATCCTGGCCCTGGCCAGCGTGCACAGCTTCCTAGTGGGGCTGCAGTCACCTGGATGCTGCTTGGCTTCCCCCCCCACCCAACTGCCAAGTCCTCCTGCCCCTGCTGCACTAGGCAGCTCCTGCCCCAGCATATGGTGCTCCAGCTCCAGGTTGCCTTCCACCCACTCCACCTGCCTGGTGCAATGAGCTGCCACTTGCAAGTGGCTGAATGAGTAAAAGGTAGCCTAGAACTGGAGCCCTGCATGCCAAGCCAGGAGCTGCCTGCTTGCAGTTTTCCCCCCTGTATGGAGTGAGGCAGCAGGGGCAGAAAAGGCAGTGGAGAAATAGCTTGAGGCTGAGCCATTGGCGACGTGTAGGGGGTGCACATGCACCCCCAAGCATAGCAGTGCACCTCCTGCAGAAAGGCACCACCGACACTGCCGGTGATGCCTATGGGCAGTCGCTGCTCGCCATCCCCCATTTCCCCACCAACGGCATCTACGTGTGGTCCGTAAATCGCCACTGGCCACCACCACCGGCATCTGGTCAGCACTCACCACCACACTGACAGCATCACCATCGCCTGCGGGAGCTCACCATGCCCCCCCAGCCACCAGGGGCATGTGGCGTTCATGAGCTGAGCAGTACCCAGGTAACTGCAGCTGCAATGGGAGCCGCCCTGCTAGGAAGATGTGTGCACTGGCTGGGGCTGGGGCTGTCTGGCAGGTGCAAGCAGGAGGGTGGTCCAGGCTGCCCCAGATGGGAGCATATGGGGCTCAGTCCCATGTGGAGCCCTACAGGGGGCAGCTATGAGCTGGACCCAATCAACTGGTAGACCCACACCCACGGCCTGGATCTAATCAGTTTGCAGGTCAAATCTAGCCCACAGATCATATTTTGCCCACCCCTAATCTAACCCCACGGAGCACAGGCTCTGCATGGACTTTCACGTTTTACCTGAAAATTCTCTATGCACCTTCAGTTTTGCTTCCGCATGTACCCTGAATCAGTCTGAGCAGCTAGGCAGAAGGTAAGTGCCTAAGCCTGACTCGAGTCCAGGAACAAGGCAATGCTCTACACATGTCCTCTGAGGGCCTAAATTCAGCAGGTATGCTCTGAGCAGGCTTAACACACTCACAGGACCAGGACTTAAGATGCAGTTAGGGCTGCTGGAAAAGTTGAGCAACTAAGTCTTTACTGGATTTAGGCCCCAAGAAAGTTTACTATGGAGTAAGTGCAGCCGTACTATGAAAACAGTGCGTGCGTGCGTGCACACACGCATGCACGCTCTCTCTCTCTCTCACTCTGCAGGGCATTTTCTTCTTCCAGTGGATTCATTAACAACCCCCACACCCAAAAAAACAAAAAGATCCTCAGTTACAAGTAAAATGCAGGTTACAGTCTTCTCTTTCCCCACATACTGATAGCTTCCCAAGCAAAATTACATTGATTACATATGGACTCTAGCTTGGAATGATATGAGAGTATAAATCAAATTTTGGTTTTAAGAACTATAAACAAAGTTTCTAATCCTAACATTCCACAATTCAATTCTAGTAAAAGAACATATCAAATGATACTAGGAAAGAGGGACTATTTTCTAGTTTGAGGTATTTTTAGAATTAGTGATTATTTGATTTAAAAAATAAAAAGGAAAGTATAAGTTTACATCACTTGCTTTTATTTTAAAATTTCAAGTTAAAAGAAATCAGAAAGTTGCAGTTCAGGTTATTTTGGGTAGTCTTTTTTTGCAAGACACAAAACCCGAGGAGTCATGTAATTCGTTCATTTTTTTTAAATCATCTTTGTTCTGTATGTATAAATGTGATGAGGCTCTGATATGGTAGTAGCTAGGAAGCCCAAATACAAAGGATGTGAGCATGAGAATCAGAGACATTGAGTGCCTGCTTAACTTTAACTGTGAAATTAGGCTAAGTGCAAAAAATGCGAAGTGTAATAGTGAAAAATGAATTAAATAAAAACCAAATAAAGGAAAACAATGGTTTTCAGCCTTTTAATTTAGTGTTGCTACCACTATAATAGGAAAGTTATCCATGCCTTACCTGCAAGTTTAATTTTGTGGAGTAATGTCTTTCACAGATCCATGACATTCAGCCTCTGCTCTAAGTAGCCTTGGAGGCAAACCATACCTGTCAGTGGCTGGAGAGGTATGGCTCCATCTTTGAAAAACCACCAACTGAGATTTCTATAGCCTGAGAATTCTCTAACTATTCTACACCAGTAGGGACAAGCAAGCAAGTATTAAGACTTAATATAACAATAATACAGAACAAACTAAGTGCCAATGAATGATCTCCCAATTAACGGCCTATTGTAGGGCGGACTGGGCCTATTGCCTTCATAAGTTATAACTCAAGAAGGGATGTTTTTAGGTAAGGCATGGATAGAAATTTTCCTATTCTTCTTGTAATATGCTCCACAGATCTATGACATTGGAGTTTCCACAAAAGAGTCTGCAGAGAACTATACAGAGTTAATACAGAAAGACGTAACCCTTTGTCAACGGTTACTAGTATATTAAAGGAATGAGCATTTGTGTACTGAAGGTGGCAGATGACTGGCTGTCCAGCTCATGGACACTGGAGAAGGTATGAAGATCCAGCCCCAGCACTCAGCATACAGCCAATTTCTTTCATGGGCAAATTCAAGATAGGCAAAATTACCACTCTTACTTCACTCCACAGCCTGCATACAGGGCTGTCTAACTAGTGGCCTGCCTGCAACCCATGAAGGGTCCGGGGGCCACAAGGAGGACACCTACTTAGCTGCTAATCATCCCATTGCTCCAGCTATAGCAGCAGCCAGGGCCTACAGACCTTCCCTCCCTTCTGTGGTTTCCATTTCCTACCCCTGCCCCAAGAAACAGGGCAGCAAGGCGTGGTGCAGGTTGCGGCCTTGGTGTCTGTGCAGCACAGTGCATATGCAGAGCTAGTGGCTGGGGAGCTTGGATGCAGCCAAACAGAATGCTGAGGCCTTACAATACAAGAAAGAAGCAAATATACTGCTGGGAGACTGACAGATTTCTGTCATCATGACCAACCTGAGGTCAGTCAAACCTTGTGATCCTGTTAGAGTGAGCACAGTAGATGGACGGCACTTTTGTTTGGATCAGATCTCCGAAGATAAGCCTTGACCCCTTTGAATATCTTATCACCCTCAGTTTCCAGCAGTGATGGTAACAGTATAGACCGGCTTATCTTTTGAAATGCCCAACTTGAATCAGTGATTTAATCATCTATATCAGGGGTTTTCAACCTTTTTTGATCAGTCTACCCCCAGCAGCTGGACATGGAGCAGAGGGTGGCGTGTGGCCAGATGCAGAGCAGTGGCAGCTGCTGCATGCGAACTTCCCCCTGCATGACAGCACAGGATGGTGTGTGACGGTGCTGTCCCCACCCACACGTGTACCCCCTAAGGCCTTCTCAAATACCCCCGGTTGACAACCCCTGATCTAGGTGACTCAAGGACTTTTTTTTGCAAATGGGGCGCAGCTAGTCTGTGGCACACTCTGGACCAAGGGATGGATACTTGGATCTCTCTCTGGTTGACAAGATGCTATTAACACTTCAGCACTTTCCCAAGCATTTGGTACTAGGTCTAAACTATGTGTTGTACTCTGAAAACAGAACTTAAGAAGCAGCTGCAAGCTTAGGTATCTATAAGCCTACTTGTCGTCACATTAGTTGCCCTTTGTTGATGGCAACTAATGTGGATCATAAAAGGTCCACCTTTAATATTGATTTCCTCATGGATCTGCTAAGATTAAGAACTACTCTGGCTTTCTGATACTCAGACAGGGTGGATGTGATTTAAAATCACTGTTCAGGAAGCCTCAATTTAATCATTGTTTTCTACAAAACGTGCATTCTTGTTGTTTGATATAACCATAATACATATTATTCACAACTCAAGAGGTAAATGTAGGTTTCATTCTTAGAAGGTACACACTATACATTTTAAAACAGTGATTCATTTTGATATTTTTTCAGATTAATTTTGCAGCTACATCAGAAAACTGAATTATTACTTGGTTATTTTATTTACCCAAGTTAATTAAAGCAGATAGTTTGCCTCCAAAGACTTTGCAAGTACCTCTAATTCACTAATCATGGATATTTGAGGGATATTTTTGCTACGCTGTATTGGGACAACATCAAATGAGTGCTGCAGCCATATGTTATTAGCTTGGGGCTTCCTTCACTTTCTTCTAGATTTTTTCTCCTCTTTGATTTCTTTTCTCTTCTACGGCCTGGCAAGCTTGCTGCCATGACAGGTTTTCCCTTCTACCAGACTATTCATTCCCTCACTAGATCGCAAATGAATGGAGAGACTGTACTTAGAAACTTATCCCTCAAAACTTCAGGAATATTCTGCTCAAAATGTTTCTCTTTTGTTTCTACTGCTCCTCCCTCCTTGCATTTATCTCCAAACTCCTCCTTGCCCAGGTCTACTCCACCCTGCAACAATCCACTATTCATTTAACTTCTTGAAAAACTTTACACTTTGAGAGAGAGGGGTAAGGGCTTGACTGCGTACACTAACTTGCAGAGTGACAATAGGACTGATGGGTAGGTAATCAGGTCTGTTATCTCTCATCTCCATATATTGCTGTTAACAAGGATGTTTTCTCTGGAGACACAAATCCAGTTTGAGAACTGAAACTAATCATCACAGAAATGCTTAATAGGATCTTCTAAACTGAGCACAGAGTCCCACTGGGTAGAGTGGTTTTCTATAATCTTTAAGAATCTATAGAGGAGCCTCTGGGAATCCCATGAGATTGGGCCCCTAATATAGTCCATGGCCTGCTGTGACCTATTTATAAAACTTTTCTTAAAAGGTTACATGAATATATTGTCTCAAATAGTATATAATTAGACGTTTTAAACCCTAGTCCATGATGATATCTTTGAGCTCTAACATATCTTAAATTAAAACTATCTTTATATAGGTTTACGGTTCTTTAAAAATAATTTTAACTAAAACAAATACAATTTTTTTTTTTTTTTTTTACAAATCTGTTTTTAATTTTTT